CCAGTCATGCTGGTGTGACCACCATTACAGGTATCCTAACCCAATCATTAGTAACAGTTGCCATAATACGAATATTATATAGGTAATTATCCAAATTTTCACTGTCGATGGAATTTGAACACCTAACCTACCACTTGGAGGGTTGACAATCTGACCACTTCACTAGGTCACTACATCCTATTTTATAAATTGTTTCTTTTAAAAATAAATCATATTTATATATTATTTTTTATGTAATCTGAAGTATACTCAGTGAAAGAAGGAGAATATCCTCTCCGAGCCAACTTTCAAGACTGAGCCCACCAAATCCGTTATGATTTTTTGTGGCAGATTGCCTGCCAAAATCAGAAATATTTTTTTTTAATTTGATAGCCATATTAGTTACTTTATTAGCATTTACTTAAAAACTTAATACAAGATTAAAAGTATAACTACAGTATTTACATCTTCTAGTTATCTAAATAGCACTTGTAAGTAACCTATTGCACTAAATTACAAAGTGTTCAGATGTTTTATCTATTTTTTACTTTATAATTAAACAACACCAATCTAATATTATCTTTTTGTAAAAAAGTAAACAGCTTATTATAATAAAATACTCTAAAAAAATGCAAATAGAAACAAATATATATATATAAACAATTAAAAAAAAAATACTTGAGTTAATAACCAAATATTATAATTATAAAGCTTAAACATATTAGGTTTAGTAAACTTATATATTACTAAATAAAGCAATCTCTACTTTGTTTTATCTAATTAACATATTTAATACTAAAGCTTATATTCTAAAAAAAAAATTCAAATTAAGCTAATAAAAAATTTTTTATATCACATTACTATTCTTTATTTACCAGATCCATTTTCATATACAATATTTTATACATTACTAAATTGACTTATCAATATTATATTACCAACCTATTATTTTATCTTTTGTTAAAAACCTTTAATATTGTTTTATTGTTATATTTTATTTTAAGATACATGTATTATTATATGTTTATTTGTTAATAACTTGTCTTAAAATTAATAAACAACCTAATTAAAAAATTAATATTAATTTTATTAAAAGTAAGCCAAAATGCCTGCTTTTCAATAAATTTTTTTTAAAAAAATAGAAAAAATTTAATAAAATCTCTTATAAATATGTTAAATCCAAAAAAATATACTTTCAAATATTCATCTTCTATCTAAAAGTTTTTTATTATTTTTAAAATAACCTTCTAGTTTGAATGCTAAATGTAACAGAAATCCACCTAGAAAAAGAGTTGACTCTAGTATAAACTGTTTTAAATATGTTTGCTTCTCAGTGTCTTATATTTTGAAAAGATACATTTATCAAAAACCCACCCGGTTATTAAAACACAAAATTCTTTACAAGCTTTCAAAATTTGATCCAACCGGGTTATAAAAACCAATTAATTAATTTTGTATGGCTTTAATACAACCCTTTTTTTATAATTTTATAATCAAAAAAAGCTTTAGTATTTTAATTTTAATGTGATTTTATGGTAATATTTTTCCTAAAATTGCTTACAGTTTAAGAATTAAAGGATAATACCTTAGTTTTAAAATCGAAAAATTTCCCATCCCCTCATTATGCTAGCATTCCTTAATTCCTTCTCTTCAGCATCTACTGGTTCTGTATGATCTATATTTTCACATACAGGAAAGACGAATTTGGGTTTTTCGAAAGCAAGAGCAGGCACTTTTTTCGGCTTTTTACTAATTTCAGCTTCAAATAACTTTATTTAAAAAGAATTATATAAATTAGTTGTGAAAATTTATATATAATCAACAAATTTATGTAAACAAATTACCGTCACATATGTACGATCTAAAAAATCTTCAAGATTGTAAGATGGTTTATTAAATTTATCTTGGAAAATCTTTGCCAATGTAGCAACATTTGGAAGATAATGATTTTGCAAAGTCTTTAAATAAACACAAACATTAATTAATAAAATTCCATAATATACATGAAATTAAATACTATGTAAATAGATTTGTACTTTTAACTCCCATAATGAACTAGCAATAGCGTTGCTCTTCATTGGGTCCGGTTCGTCAAATATGTATGGATCTTCCGAAATACTATTAATATGCCCTATAATTATTTTAATTAATTTTATAAATGTTCTTTATGGGGAGTTATGATAAGCAACCTTATGCAAACGCACCTCCGTCTTTAGAATTTATTTCGTAAGGTCTGTGTATTAAAACCATGCAACTCGGATGACGCCTAATGAGGTTATAAATTAATGGTATCAATATTACAATACCATGAGGAGGACTTGTAAGCGAGAGACGGGACATCCTTTTTATAAACGATGCGACAAGCTGGACAGGAAGATGACTATAAGGATATGTATATTGAGTATTATTAATTTGTTGGTAGTATAAATATCTATATTATTTGATACAAACGTGGATGAAAGAAAAAGATCCACCAAACGAAAAAATCTGGATCGATATTTGACATGCATCAAGTTTCTATCAAATAAATTATATAATTTTCTGTAGAAATCGGGATAGTCTCTATAAAAAAGAAATATAAAATATATGCATTAGAATATAAGCAAATTATAATAAGTTTTTTAATTTAAAAATTCTTACAAGTTATGTTCGTTAATAAGGATAAAAAGGCCGTTGAGAGCTAAAAGGCTAATTACACCGCCTAAAAATTGTTATGCTTATGAATATAAAACAATTAAATAAAAGTCAAATCCACTCAAAAATATTTGCATACACTACCAGCATTATATGCTTCTGTCAGATAGTCCATTAACATTGTAGGCTGTAACATATGAGGAATTATTTTATTATGCATGATCAAGAGAATCTTTTTATATGATTCTTGTTTCATCGGTAATTTAAGTAGAGCCAACCAGCAATCTGAAAATACTCGATGATGACTAGACAATTGTAATATATGAGGTATTTTATCTTTACTATTTGTACTGTTCTTAATAGAAGGATTTTTATCGTCCATATCGTCTTCATAAACAGAACCATCTTCATAAACAACATCGTCTTCATAAGAAACATTGTCTTCATGAGCAACATCGTCTTCATAGCCAACATCGTCGTCAAACTCTTCTTCATCTTTTTCGAAAGTCTGCTCCTTTACAATTTCTAATTATAGAATATATTAATTTAGATACTTTCATGAAACAAATTGTAATTTTTAATACTACCAGGAGTTGGATGGCCAATCCAAAACTCCTTGATTTCTGACGCGTCAGTTGGCATAGTCCGTAGGTTTTTAAGTATAGAGAAAGTGTTTTCCATCAAATTATTTAGTTTAACATCATCAAGTCTTTCATTTATACGCTTTTTCTTTTGTGTGAGAAGATATACATATATATATTACATATAGCTATAAAAAAAATCGATACCTATACATAACACTAAATATTTCAAAATTTACCTTAGATATAGGTCCAGATCTATCTTTGGGCTTTCCACTATTCGTGGCCAAATTGATTATCTTACTATTGACAATAACAAAGTTGAAAAAATATCCTTTACTTATGCTTCAAACACGTAAATTTCAATATTTTAGACCTACGCAGCATTCTTTAGAAAATAAAATCTTAAGTCATCATATTTATTCCAATATTTCTCAATAAATTCTGTTTGCAAATGTTCACTAAAATTTTCATTATCAATAAGTCCTTCCACAACGCGATAAAAGTGATTATTTGAAAAATGGTAAGTTCCGGAAGAAGTAGTAAGATGAATAGATTCCGTTTTAAGAAGCTCTAGTAGAATATTAAGCGAAGAAACCTTTCACAACGATGACAAAAATGTAAATGGTGAAAGCATAATTTAAAATGTTTAGTATGCAGTTTACAGCAATTTACATACTTGTAGACTGGGTTCTTCATGACTAAGAAAAAGGCATAGCTTATTAACGTAATGAATATAGTTCTCTCTATCATCTCTAAGACACACCGTTTCTGCATTTTGATCAACTATTTCCTTCGATTTTTGCAGTTCACCCTTTTTCAATAAAAAAAATTAATGATTGACTTCCATATTTTAAAAGAGGTGGTCTAGTGATATGAGCATCACAATATTCGGATCAGTTTTTTTTAGCATTGTTATACAGGAAGAATGTAGCAATGCTATAAAGTGTCTAAGAAGCCATCATTCAAGAATCGATCGTAGAACATCTCATATCATCACGACAGCTTATGGCTGACTATACTGGTGTAAATTGTTGTACTAATATTCTTTGTAATATTATAATGACACTTACTAACCTCGTCTGTCATGATGTCTTGAATTTTATATATTTTTTACTTTGGAGATAACGATAAATGCATTATCTAGATAATCATCACGTGCGAAATTCGTCTGATTGGCTGATTTTATGTAGATCGTTTTCAGATCATTTCTTGATAATCGTAATTTGATTGGCTGATCGCGTGATAATTTATTCGATAATGATAACTGATAAGTAATAGTATCCTAGCTATGGCGAAAAAAATTATCAGATTACACGCCATAGAACGTTTTTTTGAATTTCTATTGAATACCATTTTTGATGATTCTAATATAACCAGGCAACCAATTACATTTGCAATTTTTTTTAAAAAAAATTAATAAATAAAAATAAAAATGTAAGCAAAAATATTTTAACAACCAGTTAACCAAATTTAACAAAATTTTTTTATTTGAATTCTTGGAATCTTTATAATTCTAATAAAAGAAATTTATTAAATTTGATTAGTAATTTAAGAGTTTATTACTATTATAATAAATTTACTAAAAATTAGCAAGCTGAATTAAATTTTAAATAATACAAATGTTAAGTAAAAGATTTTTTATTTATAAAAAATAAAAGAAAAATAAGAAATAAATATTTAAAAAACAATAAAATTTAAATTCAATAGCTTCTTAGATACTATAAAGGTTAAATAGATTTATATATATCTATTGTTCTTTTTGTATTAGTCAGATTTAACAAAAATGTTTACTTTTTATTAGAATTATTAAACTTTTAAACTTAGAAATATTTGTAAATTATAATTAGAAAAAAAAAGCTTTAATAATTAAACTATTTACAGTTATATATGACTTTTAAATTCTAATAATATAAATTAGTATTTGCTAAATAACTATTTAAAAAAAATAGTTTTTTATTTTATATTATTACAAAACAAATAAATAAAATAAATAAAGATAAAATATAAAGAATAATAAATAAAGAATAAAATAAAAAATAATTTGTATTAATAATAATAAGATAAAAATAGAAAAAATAATATTTTATTAAAGAATAATTAAATACAAAAAAATTTTTATATAAGAAAAAAATTTAAAAAAACTTCAAAGAGATTATAGAAGATATTGTCTTTTAGAAAGATAAATAACTATTTTTTTATAGATTTTAATCTAATAATTAATTAGTTTTAGGACTACTATGTGTTGTAATATTATTCTGAACTATATAAACATTTAAAATATATTGGAAATTAAAAAATTTTATATAAATTTTACTAATAATGTTTGTATATAAATAATAAATCAATATTAAGCTTTTCTATTTATACTAATGCTTGGTACTTTATTGTGCAATAATTTATATATTAACTAAAAATAAAATATATATTATTGTATAGCTCATATATTTATTTACAAAATTCTTTATAGTTATTTAATGTTTAAAAGACTTTTTACAGATGTTATCTTAAATACAACTAAAAATAACTATAATAATATATAAAAATTATTATTATTATTTTTTTAATTTTTACTAAGGTTGTGGTTATTAGTAACTATTGCCTTTATTGTATTTTAATTATGGTTACATAACTTGTACAAGATGAGTCTACAACTAGCCATATATACAACTTTTGGTTGTTTATTTTAAGTAGTCCACCTATATAGCAAGTTCTATACTAGCTATCATATCTGCAATCTACTAGAAGATTACTTATTTAAATACTCTAATTCTTATACTTATACTAACAAATAGCATACAAGTTTCTGTATACTAAAGTGTTATCTAATCTAATCTTGATCTTTCTATCTGTACATCTGTTAAGCTATTATATATTTCAGAATATGTTATTTAACTATAGGGCTTCAGAAGGTCCTCTGCTAACTAACTACCCATATTTAGTTTTTTGTCAACAGGGCTTGCTCTTGCAGAGTTCACCCAGACCTTAGCACTAACTTCACAGCATATTCTTAGTACTTATAGTATATACTTGCTTCTGACTTAAACTTCTAATCCAGATTGTTCAAAAAGATTATAATCTGTTTCTGATACCCCAAAGTCTACCTTCAAGTTTCTTTTTCTCTAGTTCAAAACTTTTGGTAACCTGGTTGGTAGTACTTCTTATTCAAAGTTCTTGTTTGCCTAATTCTTCTACATTGGTATTTGTTTTTTAGGTCTAATCTTTATAGTAATATTGTATTATCTCTCTATTTAGGTCTTCTCAAGTGGGCTTTGGCTTTTTAGTTCATAATTATGAGAACTTATCTTGGATTTGCATTGTCTGATGCCAGTTTATATTTCTTTATGTAACTTTAATATTGTGCAGATGTCTTATAATTTGCCAGTTATGCTAATGCAACTATGCTACAGATATTTTATCCCAATTGATTGACAAAATATTGTCGCCATAATACTATCTATATATTACATAGATAATTATTCAAATTTTTGCTATTGGTGGGTTTTGAACTCACTATCTACTACTTGTAGGGTTGACAACTTATCCACTTTACTAAGTTATCACACCCCTTTAAATCTAAGCTATTTCTTCAAAATTTTTATTTTTTAAGACTTGTTTAATGAGTTTGTCTTTTTTTTACTTGTTTCTTGACTTGTTTTCTTCTACTGCTTTACTTGTTAGGTCTATTTTAGAAGTTTTTTCCTTTTTGTTAAGTTTTTGAACACAGTTTTGACAATAGTTTTTTTGTTAGTCTTGATTTTATTTCTACAAGTTTTGTGTTTTGGTGATTAGTAGAAAAAGTGATGAATTTGATTATTCAAATTTTATTTTGTTTTTGTATAGTATTGATTAATATAGTTAGAACAAAGCCTTGTATAGTTGTATATATATTTGTATGATTTCTAATAAGAGATATATGGGGTGTGGGTCCCATAGCTTAGCGGTTAAGCTCCCATACCCTCCACAGTCAAGGTCAACGGTTCAAGTCCGGCTG